TGACCAAACATGTCCTGTCCTGGGCGTCTGTTTTTTCCTTTTTTTAAGTGGTGGAAATGTCCGAGTTTTCATGATCTTTCATTGGGGCTATTAAATTGAGCGTCTCTTGTAACTCTCTGTGCACTCAGAAGGAGCGAGCAGACACAAACAGTCGGTCAGACTGCAGCATGCCGAAGTGGAAATGCGCATTTAACAATGACTTGAACAAGAAATTCTCCGTTTTCCGTCCCGGTCGGGACAAGTGGGAGGTCATGTGCACAGGTTGTGAGGTGAGAGTAGCTCAATGTCGAGGCTCCACCCCTGGTAAGGTGTCCAGGTTTTCACAAATGGAAATATGGTATAAATACCCTAACTAACTTAAGGGGTGACCCTTACGTCCCCATGGGGAGAAAAATACATTTTGAGAAAACGCCCTTTGAAGTTACAATGGCCCAAGAAACAATGAGTTAAATTAAATATTAAAACATCTTTCAGTGCAGAATAGACATGAAAGCGTAAATGCTACGAGACCAAACTGATCATAAAACAGAAAGCTGTAAAATGTGTTTTGCCTGTAGTTTCTCCAATAACTGATGTAAAACTGTGGTAAATATTTAGCTCAGGTTTAATCCACCAAACCAAGTCAGAAAAACATGAACCTGTCCTAAAACAGTGAGTTAAGTGGACACTTACTTTTTCTCTGGTGTCTGGAGAGCATCAGATCCACAGCAGGAGAAGTGCAGAGGAAAGAGTTCAACACTGACATATTATAGAGTCAGGTCACATGACCCAGTGATGACCAGACTGGATCTGCAGGTTCTGATGGGACTGTACTATGGGATGTAAGAGATCACCCAGACAACCAGTCAGGAAATGTCATGTGTCCAAATAAAACTGTTCTTCCTCCACTGATACAGACATGGACTTTACAGATTATGGCTGTGACCCAACGGATCCTCTGAATCTGTCACTGGATTTAAGAACGATAAGACCTGAGACTTCTCCCTCAGACGTGTAATTAAATACGCACGACTCTATGGAGACAAGCTGATTAAATGAAATATAAATAAGATATTTGAATCTTTCAGTTCAGAGTGAACAGTTAAGTTGTTTCCACATGAAAGCGTACATGCTACGAGACCAAACTGACCAAAAAACTGAAAACTGTAAAATGTGTTTTGTCTGTAGTTTCTCTAATAACTGATGTAAAACTGTGGTAAATATTTAGCTCAGGTTTAATCCACCAAACCAAGTCAGAAAAACATGAACCTGTCCTAAAACAGTGAGTTAAGTGGACACTTACTTTTTCACTGGTGTCTGGAGAGCATCAGATCCACAGCAGGAGAAGTGCAGAGGAAAGAGTTCAACACTGACATATTATAGAGTCAGGTCACATGACCCAGTGATGACCAGACTGGATCTGCACTAAACCAGTCTAAACTAGGACTAAAACAAGACTAAACTAGGACTAAACCAGGACTGAACCAAGGACTGAACCAAGGACTGAACCAAGACTGAACCAGGTCTAAACCAGGACTGAACCAAGGACTGAAACGGTATATCCGTGTTTTCCCATTTTTCATTTAAACACAAAATCGAAAACTGAAAAAAAAAAAAAAAAAAAAACTAAACGAATCATTATCTGTTTTTTCATTTCGGTTTTGGAGACAAATAATGAAGAAAATAGTTTTATAGTTTTTTATTTAATTTTTTTTTCATTTTCTTAATTTTTGTTTTATTTAGACAAACAAATGAACAAATGATACACAGATTATGCTCTGAAGGGGGAGTGACTTAGCGCAAAAGTGAATATGTATCTTGTAAAACTTATAAATACTTTGTTTTCAGCGAACAATAAAAGTCCTCCTGGTGATGTAAATGTGTTATCTGATATAAAAAAAAGTATAAAAAAAAAAAAAAGCAAATTAAATGCAGTCCGGGTGGCAGCACAATCTTGTTCTTTTGCACTTTATTTTTTGAGTCATGGCTTTCTAAAATGTGCAAAAAATAAAAAAACAAATAAAAATAAGGTTAAGATTTCTATTTGGATCATTATTTTACAGGACTCTGGAGGACTAAAGGGTAGTGGGGGGGTCTGCAGGACTAAAGGTGAGAGTAAGGGGAGGTCTCAAGGACTAAAAAGGAGAGTGAGGCGGGTCTAAAGGACTAAAGGGGAGAGTGGGAAAGTCTAAAGGACTAAGAGGGAGAGTGAGGGGGGGTCTAAAGGACTACAGGGGAGAGTGGAAAAATCTAAAGGACTAAAGGGGAGAGTGAGGGAGGGTCTCAAGGACTAAAAAGGAGAATGAGGTAGGTCTAAAGGACAAAGGGGGAGAGTGTCAGACTCTAAAGGACTAAAGGGGAGAGTGGGAAAGTCTAAAGGACTAAAGGGGAGAGTGAGGGAGGGTCTCAAGGACTAAAAAGGAGAATGAGGCGGGTCTAAAGGACAAAGAGGGAGAGTGTCAAACTCTAAAGGACTAAAGGGGAGAGTGAGGGAGGGTCTAAAGGACTAAAAGGGAGGGGGGGTATCTGGAGAACTAAAGGGGAGGGTGAGGGAAGGTCTAAAGCACTAAAAGAGACAATGGGAGGCCTAAAGGACTAAAGAGGAGGGTGACGAGGGTCTAAAAATTTAAGGGGGAAGTGAGGGGATAAGGGTCTGGAGGACTAAAGGGAAGAGTGGGGGGGTTAAAGGGAAGAGTGGGGAGGTCTAAAGGACCAAATGGGAGACTGGGGGGAGTCTAAAGGACTAAATGGAAGACTGGGGGTGAGTCATAACAGTGTGTACTTACTATTTCCGACATTTGCACATCAAAAGTATCTGTTGAAAAAAATATGTCATTCTTTTGTGTTCTCGTCAAGATAAAAGCTCACAGTCATGTATACTTCTATTGACGCTTTCTTGAGAATTAAATGAGCTACAAAGTCCCATCAAGCACTGACTACACATGAGTGGAAAGATTTGGCTTAGACCAGCACTGATTTTAGATTTTTTCTTATCTTTGAAGTCTGACCACCACCAGCTCACAAAGATAGTTAAGACATACATAAAGGTATAGTTAAGCAGATGCATACTTACATTCAGAACATAACCTGTTCTAGATTTCCCAATAGAGAAACATAGAGATATACATTCCTCCCTAATGACACTATCTGAGACATGAATCATTTCCTTGTCACGGTGCAATATCACAGCAGCAGAAAGGACAACATGGGTGGGGCTAAAAATTCAATCTAAAACATGTTCCTGACTCCTGGTTTGAAATAAAATACAGGCCATTTAATAAAGAAAATCTGCAGAAGTCTTTAACAAACCTTAGAATCGTAGAGCGGTCCAAACACTAGAATCCACAATCCCTGGAAAAAAGAATGTGTGTGTTTACTACAGAAAGAGACTGCACACATCACGTCACCATCATTCCATTAATAAAGATTTACACTGTGGCTCTTGGGAACAAAAGGACTTGTTTCTACTAAATCGCTTTACATCATTGTTGTGTTTCATCAACACGTGTTATAGTTTGTTACTAAATATTTCATGAGGATTGTTCCAAACCTACTTACAGCAGGGTTTTGTCACTGGTCATTGGTTTGTGGTCACACAGATTACCTCCTTTCTATACTTTTTGATTGATGTATTTATTTTGTAACATTGCTCCATCATTTGGCATAAAACATCCATGGAGACAAGCAGGTGGCACAAAGGCCAGGTCAAAGATCAAATCTGTGGAGAGGCGACCACACTAACTGTACTTCTGTGTGTCAAACGAGTCTGTTTCACATGTAATCTACAGACATTTAGTTCAGTTTATGTAACACACGTCTCAAGAGTTTGGAGC